AGCAGCAATTCAATGTAAACACACACACGAAATAACGAAGGGAAATCAAGTTGTTTGCAAACAAACAAGAGCCCCGTTCGATGGCACAAGTATCTTATCATCATCCGGAATATTTAGAACAAAAGCCAGCTACTCGGCTAAGCAGAACACGTAAGCCGTAAAAAATATATAAAAATTCCAGAAACACATACGTAATAATATTGTATAGCCACGCGATACATTTCAGAACTTTAAGACGAATTTTTGACAAAAAAACCAAACGGGTCTAACAGCTCATCTAGCAGATGAATGAGTTATATACAAATAGTAAACAAACCAGGCAAGTAATCTCCTAGTATTGTTTTTAAAATAAATAAATTTTGCTTACAGAAAAAAAGATCTAATGTATGTATAATATAATTTTATGTTTGTTTTGTTTGTATATATTCAGATATTTCATTTAAAGGTTTGGCTGTTTAAGTCTTTCTAATTCAATTTTTTCAAACGATTAAGGCTTTATATTTACGCCAAAATCCCTAGGCATTGCTCACACCTGTAGCTCAGTGTTTTGTCTACAGGCATTAATAAATACGCGAACAAATGACGATATAAATCCGCCTTAGAATCAAACACATGATACTGAAAAGCCGCTGTCGGCAGACTGACAAACGAGCCCATGATTGGGACACCGAGGGGGGTTGACTGTCAAGTGGTAAGTGGCAAGTGGTAACTGGAGAGCGGACATTGCCTGCTCGACATGGCGACGTGAAATGACATAATCCGTAACCGTGACACTTGAGCCGATTTGTGTGTGAACCTGGGCAGGCCGCAGAAAGAATGCTGACTTTGGCTACGATCTGTGTATCCGTATCCGAGTGCGAGTCCGGCTTTTTCCCATTGCTCTCCGAGCCGGTCAACAATTAAGGCGTTCTGGCGACTGTGGTTTTCAATAATTACTTACTGTAGTGGAAACAAAAACAAAGGTATCTTACCATGGCGGAAGTCGAACCGTTTCGCGCCGCCTTTGTTGGGAAACCAGTTCGGGCTCGGAATTCACTGTCTCCCGCGCAACTAGTCAACTCAATCAGGCCCAATCAATCGTCAACTTTGTGTTCCGCAAAATGTGAACAGCTTAGAAAACACCAGGTCTACGCAAATAAATTACAAGTGCGCCGAAACAGACCGAGTCACATGGGTGGGCGCTGCCGGCACCGATAGTGCCCCGATTGGGAAGACTATATCAAATCGAAAATATTAAATGCCTGGCAGGCAATCAATATGCAAAACGGAAACGATTCTAATAAAGCAACACTCATGAGTCGATGATTTGAATGGGTTATGAGTGCAGCCAGCGATTTGATTAATGATCGGGAGTATTGATTTTGCCTAGGAAGTGGAAGTGAGATTCGGGAACGACAGCATTATAATTTATATATTCTCACTGCAAATCACACCTAGAACGGAACCTACTGGCTTTTCTCGACAGATCCGGTTCACCTGATATTGATTGGAATATCCCAGAGTCATTGGGACAACAATCTTTATGAGAAGCTTAAAATTAAAGAAATTTCTTGCCCTCGAAAAACCAGTTGGATTAATTGTTTAATTATAAAATTACAGAATTACCTCACTGGTTTGATTCAATATTAGAAATTCCCATTAAAATATGTATTAAATGCGAACATTTTCAAAAGATTTTCATTGCGAAATGAAATAGATTTTTATTCTATCCAATAAGTTGGAAAATATGTTCATTTTACTGACCAAATCCAAATGCGCATTTCATTTAATTGGTCTTATCTGGCCAACCCTAAAATCTATATGTATATTAACATATAGAATTTATTGAGCATTTGGCCAGACCGAATCTTTGGCAGCTGCATTCAGATGATTTTGGCACACTTCGACCCAAGTCGTAAATGTGTAATAAACATTTTATCGATGCTCCGTTTGATACGGAAAAATGTGTATTTATTAAATCATCGATTGTCGACAATAAATCAAAATTCGTACGGCGAGGGTGGAGAGTGCTTGATGTCTCGAACGATCGGAACACTTGGATGGATCTCAGGTGCCTTTGTTTGGTTCTCTCGGCGCACAGATCTGTGTATACTTATAATTATGCCTGTATAGATTTATATTTATTTGTGTAATTATGACATTTTTTCACGCCGCGGCTTGGGCAAACAAATAACAGTAAGCCCCTTTGTCTGGGCCAAGTAAAATTCAGTGAAGTCTGGGCGGCGGCAAACAAAAGACCATAAATAAATCGCATAAAAAGACAGCATGACAAAAAGCACCTCATAAACGATATATACACCACATTCGCATATATGTTTATTTAAATATTGAGCGGACGAGATTAAAATATATTCTCTGTCCTGCGACAAGCCTCCTTTTGGCAGCGAAAATAATAACAGCGGCCAAGTGACTCAGAGACTTCCTCGTTCAGCCGCGTGTAGGTATGGAAATGTCACTGGAAATCAATAAAAAAGTAAAAACCAGATGCAACGGCTCTGCGTAGATACGCGCCAGGAATTTGCATTTCCGTGTTGGTTTTTTATAAATTATTAAGTCATTTTATTTGCACTTCGTTTTCCATTTTTCTCTTTTCTTCTCATATTAATTTTACAATTTTCTTTTCCCCGCTTCCTGGCAAACTTAATTGATTTGCATAGTCGAATGCACGCCCAGATTTTTAGCCCAAGCCACAAACAAAGTGGGTATAGAATTTTATATTTACTTAATTCTCACTATCTACCAGCCGGGCCAAATCACGTGGCCCAAAATTTATGCACACCTAGCAAAACATGATGATAAATGGCTTTGTCAATAAAAATTATAGCAACGCTTTGTGCGGCACTACGCTGAATTGCGTCAAAATAGAAACTGAAAAGTTAATCCGTATTTATAATGCTATCAAATGTTGATGGAGCGTATCACACTAAAGGTATTAATTTGTAGCTGCAAACTGGAAATCGAATGGAAATAATTACTACGAATTTCCATTGCCTCGATCCACACATTGAGGTTTTTTTTCTTGCCTGCCAAGTATTAAGTATGTCAATTTTTGACTTTAACATTCTAATTATAATTCGCCTTTGCCAGCTCATTTTACGCATCTTTTGTGGCTATTTATAAAAAACATAAACAAAAAGAAGATCACGCGACAAGCGCACCACCAACAATCTGAGCGGAGCTGAGCCAGCGATTATCTCAAGAGAAAATCAGCCTCTTTCTGTTGGTTTCATTCCCATTTCCCCCAGAAATCAAAAGAGAGAAGCTGCAGTCGCCACAACGTCTGCGGAAAGATTGTTTTTTGAACTGGTTCGAATCTGGATTTGCATAGATTGGATTTCTTTTAGTGAACATTTCAGTTGGAAACTCATTACCCGACATACGGGAGAAGGTGCCTAAAGAGAACTGTGAAATACTTTTAGACATTTGGAGTATCTAAATTAATACTGGAAGTGTTTTTTTTATATTTTAAACAATTGTTTTTACTTTAAGTGTATCATTTTATATTTTTACAAATTATAAGTAAGAAGATAAAGAAGATTTGCTATGGAAGCTAAGCTATTTCAGGTACTATTTCACATAGTATTTTATTAGGAAATATTTTAAGAATAAAATATGTTTTATAAAAAGAAAGAAAATACCTTGACAATGTTTTAAATTAAACGAAAATATTTATTTATTTTTAGAAATATAATATTAGTAATTATATAATATAATTTTAATTTATCTTAAGAAAAGATTTAACGTTTCTTAAAACAAATCATTATTTTCGTATTATTTAAAATATCTTCAAAGTATTTAATGTTTATTTATTAAATTATATTTTTAAATATATAAAATAAAAATATTTCGATTCTTAAAAAGGAGGACTAAAAGGGAGTAAATAAATAGTATTATTTTCCCTATGAAAATTATCCAAAATTCGACTTTAAAATTAATAAATCTAAATCCTTATTAAAAAAAAATAATTGTAGATTTATAGAACTGTAAGCTAATAAAGAGTAGCTCTTCCGAAAACTAGAACTGCAAGTTAAACCCACTGTTTTCTTTGGATTTTCCTTTTAATTTACGAGTTATGGCAACTTTTAGCGGGTCAAGCCGTAAAGGCAAATGAGCTTTTGGGAGGGGAAGGAGGCGAGCCAACTGTATATGGGCGGTGCGAGTGTGTGTTCATTACTTTTTTCGTATACCGTTGCCTTTTAATTCTCCACTCAAATGGCAGTAGAAGAAGAGGAAGGAGGAGCAGCAGAAGAAGGGCCGTAGACAAAATCAGAAAATCCGAAACAAAAAATCAGAAAATGACAAAGCGAAGGCAGAAAAACTGACGACTTGAACTTTTTGTTTCTTTTTTTGTTGTATTTTTTTTTTTTTTTTAACTATAAGCAGTTAGTGCTGCCTCTTCTTCGCCATAGCTACTGTCATTTTTGTTGTTTTATTGTGCTGATGACCTTAAATTAGGCGTAGGTCTTTCGTTTTTTTTTTTTTTTGTTGTTTGTGTTTGTCATTGTTGGCCAAGTTTTTGTCTGTTGTTGTTTTTTTATATGCGCTGGTCAGCTGTTTGGCTTCTTGGCTTTCGGTTACTTTGGCACAATGGGCCATAAGTAATAACAAAAAGATATTACACGAATGTCATGACCTGCGGCAGGCGAGAATGCCAAAGAATGCATAGTATAATAACAATAATTTGGTTCTAGTTGGCATATAAAAGTGAATGCGAGCCAAAATGAAAAGGCCAAGAACAAAGGCAACTCGCAGAGATGGGGGAGAGGATAATGGTGAACGGTAAAGCAAAGTAAGACTAGCCACCGACTAAAATAAAAACCGTTCACTGCACAAAGAAGCTGGCGAAAAAAAGACCGCAAGCCGCGCCTAAAACAATCCCAAAAGAGAATAGAAAACAGAGAAGAGGAAAAGGGGAGAGAGAGAGCTAAGTTTAACCCCAGCTTGTAAAAAAAAATTATATTTGAGAGCGCAGCAATTATTTTTTACAACTTTTTCGCTACCTTTTTATTCGGTCTTTTTCCCGGTATTTAGCACTTTTCCTTATTTAATGGGATTTATCAAACGATTTTTCTCGGTTTGGTTAGTCACATTTCTCATTGGTATCAATTGCACTGAATTGCCACTGTATTTGTTTAATTTGTATTGAAAAACAGCACTCGCGTACAATTTATATAAAATTTATCAACTTTTTTTTGTAGCTTTCTAGCTTTTCTTCACTTTATGAAGAGCAGATAATTCTGTAAATATTTTATGGTTTAAAATATTTTAATTAAAATTAAACACTTATGAATTTTGTGGGTTTTTTGTGTGGAATGGATTTTTTAATATCTGTTGATATTTCATAAATTTGATTAATATATTTTAATTTAATTTAGCAATTTGTTTAAAGTATTTTCATTTATATTCAAACACTTATTACAATTAAAACTTTATTTTCTTTTAAATATATACACATTTGTAAAGTTTAAAGACTCTCACAGACAGCTAGGGAAATGTGCATAAAATTAATAAATATTACTGGAAAAATGTCTGTTAATTATGTGGGAATTTTAATGGGTTAATTGCTGCAAACGGACTGCCATTATTTAACGGACTTTAATGACTGAACAATCTGAATTGGGCACAGAGAAATAATAATCAACAGACTGCACATCTCGCACACACATAAACAGCCACACAAAACTCGATCATATTATTAAAAATAATTTTTACAATATTTCCCGCCGTTGCTGCACATTTATCTCGATATTTGGCACAGACTTTTTAAGCGCGCGCGCGTCTTTCTTATTTGTTTTTTATTTCTCCGTTAATTTATTGCAGCAAAAGAGAATCTGTTTCGATTTCGTTTGGCGCGGACTCTCAGCTTTGCGTTGCTTTAATTTTATTTAATTATTTTTGGGGGCGAGCTGCTGGGCGTTGCGTTCCGTTCGTTGCAAATGGAAAATTCAAACTGATCGGAAATTTGTGCGCTGCCTCAGAAAGTCGGGAGCCGAAAACGATCGCGCTGCCGCCGCCGCTGCCGACGCGTCGGAATTATGTTTTTCGACCGCGGCGCAGTCGCAGCTGGGAGAGCGCGAGGGAGAGAAAAGGCACTCGCTCATTTTGGCTATATCTTGCTCTCCCGCGACATGTGCTGCAATAAACTCGTTTTTTTTGTTGCAGGCTAAAAACCTGCTTGGGGCTTTTGGCTTATTTCCGTTTCCATATGTGTGAGTTCGCGATGTTTAGCTACATGTTGCCAGTGAGCAGCGTTGGGGCCACTTGAAGCTCGAGTTACCGACTTAATACTCTTTTTTGTTGAGTATTTTACCATTTTTAGAAGGCGGGGTTTTGTAGGCCCAAAAGTGAATACACTTAACCCTTTTCGATTTTTTTAAAGAATATATTTTGGTGTTTTAAAGTTGTATTTCGAAATATTTTCAATTGATTTCAAATAATAAGCGTTTTAACATTTTTTAACCAAATTAATTTTTTTATTTTGGTTATTTAAATTGTTATAAATAATAAAAAAATCATAAAGTAGGTTTTTAAGAGAGTTTATTTAAAAAAAAAAAGTAAAATTAATTATTCTTAAAAATCATATACCTCATTCTGCGAAATTCAGGTTAAAAAGTGATTTTGTAACATTTCGTAGCATACTTTCTGGCATTCTTTAAAGGGATTTCAAAACAAGATCCATTTTTCCCACTTTCAATTTGTGTTTTAGCTAGTTTAACTAAGAAATGATAAAAGAAAATTTATTTACAAATAATATCCATATAAAATCTTAAGTTATGTATTACTATTTTGCCATAGGGTAATAAATATTCGTCTTGCCCATGTCTTTTTTGCTTTCCTACTTTGTTTTTGCTTCTAATGTTGGGACGCATGTGCAATGAACTTGTTTTGAATTGCAATTGCGATACACTTATTGTTGCTACTTTGTTTTGTTTTTTGGAGGTTATTCAGTTGCGGCGACTTTGTAATTTCATTTAAATTACTCATACGCCATGTGACGCCGCCGTAATTATTTGATTTCGCCCGAAGCCTCTCGACGGCAAAAATGCATTTCCTTAACTTTAATGTAGGTCACTGCTGAGGGGGTGAAAGTGCCTGCAATTACCTGGCGAATTACCTGCTGCCGTTGACGCCGACGAGGAAATTACCACCAAGGTCGATCGGTGCCCAGGTTCACTCCGAGAATTTTTTTTACCTTAAGGTGAACTGCATTTCATCGGTGGAGAAAGAGAGAGAGAGACAACTAGAATTTCCAATTCAACCTTGGGCAATTCTTTCGCTTAGCTGGCTGACTTTTCCCTCTTTCTTTGGCTCATTTAAAACGCATGACTTGGCTCAAATTGCAAATTATGCAAATTTCAAAATACACAACTCGACGAAATCAGAAAAAGTGCAGAATCACTTTGTTGCCAGTCGTTCTCTGCTCCCCTCTGGCCGTTCTCTGTCTGCGCCTTTACAGTTTTTCGGACTCGGACGATTATAATTTGCAGCCTTCAATATTATTACACAATCATAAATTGTCTGAACTAAAATGTAAATGTTTTCAACTGCGCATATATATGCGGGGCTATAAAAAACGCAATCGCGCGTATAGCCAAAGCTTGAGCTATGACTAAATCTATGGCTATGGTTATGGACATGGCTAGGTGGCTATGGGAATGGATAATGCCGCACAAATCAGGGTCTCTAATCGAGCCAGTCGAACCCCAGTGCGGTTTGCAAATATGGAGGCACAGGCAAAAGTCTTAGAAAACTATGTACAAATTTCGTTGTTTTTATTTTAATTTACAATCGAAATCCTCACAGAACTTTATATTCTCGAGAGGTCTTAAAGAATTATATTATTATTTATTTTATGACGACAAGGCTCTTTTACATCTATAAAAAAACTAAACAACAAATAATTAATTCCTTGAACACGCGACCTCACCATTAAACAATAATAAAGGTGAATAAACCTGTATGAGGTATTTTGAATTTACACACCTGCCGCACTGCTTCCGTCTTGTACATCAACTTTAAATTTTAATTAGCTTAAGCGCCATAAAAGATCGCCAATTTAATGTTTAGCCTTTGCAATTTGCAAAGAAAAAGAAGGAAAAGTATGTAATTAGCTTTTGTGGCTATTGAAATACAATAAATTAGCCAATGACATTCACTTTTTAATTTATAATTGGCAAGTTGTTATTTAAATTCTATAAAATTAAATGTTATAAAGGTATTCTATGATTTGTTTTAACATTTTACATTTACATTTGGGCATTTTTAAGACAGTTTTTTAAAACAACAACTTGTTATTGGAAAATAAATTCAGGAAGTTAAACTAAAAATATATTCAAAACAAAAAGAGCATTATTTAGGTTTTAATTTGACTTAAAACTTCATCAGAGCCTTTAATATACTATTTCGGCTGAGTCTGCAGGGATTCCAATTCTGTTTTGCCTGCATTTTCAATGTCCTGTTTTCATAAAGCTTTCCTTTTATATTTCCCTTTCTTTACTTCCTGTATTCTTCGTACAACATAACCCCTCAAAACATTTCCATAATAAACAAATTCATCGCAAACTTTCGTCGGACTGTCAAACTAAAAGTACGTGGGCGAAAATATTCCCTTTTAAGGAGCTTCATTTAAATAACAAATGACATTCTCGCTGCTCGCTTTTCCGAACCGATTGCAGCTTAAATATTTTTGCCATCCAACTGGCGGGGTTCCCAGTGCCCCGAGTGTTGGAGCTGTTGAATATGCAAAGCCCGGCGCAGGCAGAAAGATTTACTTTTTAATTTTTGCTCTTGCCCCTCCCGCTTTGTTGTTGTTGTTGGCGTCTTCCCGCCCCGACAGCATGTGACGGAAGGTAGTGCCAAAACCGAGCCAAAAACCAAGTTTCTGGCCAGCAATGTTTCGACGGCTTTTTGCTGCAGCTGCTAAAAATAGCAAAGCCGCCACAGCAACATCAACACAACACAGCGCGTTGCCTGCAAGTTGTTTGGCTTGCCAAATGGCGGCACGCGGCACATGGTGGCCGGTGGTGCTGGTGGTGCTGGTGGTGGTGTGGTCCAGTAATGAAGAGGCTGGGGAAAAACGAGGAAAAACGAAGAAAACCGGCTTGACAGGAAAATACAAATTTCGTTTTGGGTGAGGAAAAAATTCAAACGATTTCGTTGCTGCTGCCAGGCAGTTGGAAAATGTATTTTTTTTTCGGCTCCCAGAGAGCCCCCAAAAGGAGGTTGGGGTCTCGGCTAGTTTCGTTCGGTAATCGGGTGTCTAGCATTGTTTTCGCTTTTGTTTACTTTTCATTTCGCTATTTAATTGAATCGATGCATAAAAATCGAATTTATATGGATGCACTAAAGGCCCCTCGGCCACTGTGAATGAAATTTTTATTCGCTTATTGCCGTTGATTTGGGTTTTGCGTTGTCCATTCGGCTTTTTCAATCAAATCTGTCGCTTTTTGGGCGCGCCATTTGATTTTTCATATAAATAAATGTGCAACAAATTTGCAAAGCAATTGCGAAAACGTGCCTGAATTTCTCCGAGTTCGCGAATGCTCTGCCCCCGCGACTTGGAGGTGCCGCAAAATGTTTATATCAAAACAATTGACTGGGATATTCTTAATGGGATTTAAATTGCAATGGGATCGGGTTGAGCAATTTGTTGATGTTTCTGGGGAATTTTATCAGCTTGTTTACTGGGTAATATTTGTAATTTTTTTGTTTTTAAATCGGAGAAGTTTTGAGCGGCACTTCTCTAAGGGTACACTGCAGCTTTCAACCGTAAGTTCTTTATAAAAATATTACCAAACTATAAAAACCACAAGAAATATATAGAAATGTATTCAAAGTCTAAATAATAATACTTCCCCACAAAGTGAAAATACCTTTCATTCTCGTGCAGAGTATTCTAAATAACCTCTAGGTAAATCGCATTAAAATATGCATTTATTGCGAGCTGCTGTCACTAAGCTCGTTACTCAAACAGATTTCTGCTCTATTTTGTATTCAATTTTTCAATAACAGAATGCGATTTTAATTAATGAATTTGTTCCATTCAAAAGCACTGTCAAAGGCTGCTGTCGGAGACATAAATACTGGCTTTAACCCGTTATTGAGATCCAGTTGGCAAAGGAAGTGACAAACCCATTGACATTTGCCACTCGGGGACTGTTTTGGCGGGGCGACCGTGCCAAAACATTTGTCATAGCACATTTAAATATTCATCCATTATTGTCCGGCTGGTGGAGAATTCAATTTCGATTCCAATTATGCAGTCAATCAATTTGTATTGCAACATGAAATTTGTAAACCAAAAACGCAAACAAAAAGAGACCCAGTCTGAGCCTGTTGTTCTGCCCCGTGTGGGGCATATGATTTATAATTTATTTACATGGTAAATAAAAATCGTAGAAAAAGTTTCGGCCATGTTATCAATTTTTTGCGTGTTTTCCCAACTGTCTTGCCAGCACACATGGGGCGCCTTTAATTGAGGTCAATGTCAGGCGAGGTATACATTGTGCCTCCTTCTTTTCTTTTAATTTTTAACTCTGTGTGTATGGGTGTTTGTTTTGACATGGCCAAGACAAAGGTAAACTTGGCAGTATTTTTTTTTTTTAACAAAACAATAATAATAATTTATTTATGAGTCAAACGAAACATCAATTACCAGAATAAGAAGGATTCCAGCTAGCACGCAATCGAATTATTATAAATGGCCCATCATGGAATCACAAGACTTAAAAGATGATGTATCACTTGATGTCAGGCATTTTTAAAATAACAATTGTCTCTAAAGGTTTTTTTGTCATGCGAAAAGATAGAGTATTTTAAGAGCATGGGAAAAACTAGTCTTTAAAATTAAATCATGTTACAAGCTGGGATAGACTTAGGTAATAAAACACCTTCAAAAATGGTTTATTAAATAAAGCAACAAAAGATTTTCAACGTTTAGAAATATCACAACTGTAACCTCTGTGCCTCAAAATTTCCATCAATGGAATTTTGTTATTTTACTATAATAATTGCCTTATCTCTGGGAAACTTTTCACTCCTGAAGGTTGACCAGATGTCCGGCATGAATTCGTGTGGAATACGTGATGCAAATCAAGTAAACTCCGCACTAGTCAAATCTCGTTTATTTTCCACTACTGACGACGGACAGTTCAAATATTTACGTGAGTGCATACACCCTTGGAACAAAGAACCTTTCTACCTAGCTATCTTCACTTAATTCTGAAGAGGTCAGATTTATTCACATTATTTTATGGGTTACGAGTGAGTTTTTGGGCAAAATCCCAAGCTGAAAGTGGAAATTTTATGGAGGGTGGGTGGTGCTTATCGGCGGCTTTCTTTGCCTTTGAGGCAACCCAATAATTGCTGGCAAATATCAGGTAGCTAAAGCGATAAGGCAGCTGTATTTATAATTAAATACATCCCAAGAAAAATTGATAAATCCAAGTCTAAGCAGGTGACGAAAAGCCTTGGACGGGGTGACAAAATACCCGATAAACTCCGATTAGCCCAAGAATCTTTCTGTGTGAGGTCGCGGCTGTCAATAAATCATTCTGTCCATAAACTAATTGAGCTGTTTAGCCATATTTGGCTCCCTTGATCCGGGGCTCACGTGTCAATCCCCCGGGCCGACTGTTTGCACATATCCTTGTTTATGTTTTACTGCCTTGCCGCGCTTAATTCCACATGTTTAGTCCAATTTCAAAAGCAATAAATTTGTAAAGCAAATCATAATGCTGAATTCGATTAGCAAGGACAACGACAACGACAGCAACAGCGACAGCGACTAACCTGAACACAGATCCGAGACAATCGATAGCGGGCCGAACAATGTACGCGTAATGTGTTTGCCTGAACAATAATGACAGATAATTATATTGATATATATGAGCAATCTCGGAGATTGAATGCCAAATTGATTGGCCTGGCGGCTCATGTGGCATTGAAATGGCCAATTGAAAGGGTGTGAAAATCGATTAAATACGTATATATACACGGGCGATTGGAAAAGGGTACATCTATATGAAAATATATTGACATATATGTATGTTTTTAGAAAATCATAGAAAATATCGTAATAAAATTAGAATACCCTTAAAGAAGACCGGAAATATTTGAATACTTATCTTGAATAATAAATCTTATTTTTATATGACAATCGAAAAGCTTTTCTGTGCTACTTTTTTCTAGAAAATCAGATCTGCATATTAAATTTAAATTTTTAAGAAATCAAAACTTTTTCACTTTCTTTCTTATTATTTGTATTATTTTTGTATTTAAATATTTTGCAAAATTTATTTTTTTAGAATGAAAATCACATTTGTAGAAGAACCCTATTGGCAACTTCAGACCTTCAGATTTTAATTACTATTAAATCTCTTAACTAGGCTTAATTTAAAATGAAAAAAGCTTTTGCAAATTCCTTGCCATTCAGTCCGAAATCGCTCTGGGCCAATAAATAATTCCACAGAATTTAACAGCCTGCATTAATATACCAAAAAGCAATGAGAACATTTGCTTCGCTTTATTAAAAATGAATGCCGACAATTTAGCTAAGTGCATTTTACTTCGACTTTCACACACTCGTGTACATTAATATCTACATATGCAGATATATATGTATGGGTGTGGATATCTTGTGCTTAGATAACAAAATATAATTCGTCGCAATTTGTGAAAAGAAATACGAAAATTGTTGTTTGTTTACAAAGTGTCAGGCGAAATGTCGGCACCAACAATGCCACCGTGTGGGCCACCAGACATCGTGGCTTATATATGAGTATATATACAGATATAGTATGGTATCTGAACGTCATATATATGCCAGTCCGACTGTCACAATTTGCCAGCGCCTCTTGAGAGCCAAAAGCTAGACCAGACCTCAGGTCATTGCATTTATTCATAACAAAATTCTGGGGAAAATGAAAAAAGCATATGAGTTGAGATTGCGAAACTAGCAATTAGCTTTATGCATCGTCTTATTTATTCCTATATGCACTATAATATTTATGGTATGGGTTATAGTAAACGGATGGCTATAATTAGCGGATTGGCTTGTCTGTTGATTTTAAGAGCACCTACATATTTGTTTTTTTTGATCGTAAATAAACTAATGGAAGCACCGGATAGTTCTTATTGAAGGTAGTATATTAAAACTGTCGTTTGTGGATTATCACTCATAGAAGGTGATTACAATGCCACGAGCGTCACGCAGTCAGTAACTTTAAGCCATTTGTTTATATTGATTTCGAGGCGGTACCTACGTCAATTCTGAATGAAGGGTGAATGCACTAAAAATTAAACAAACAAAGGCTTTTTTTTAAATTGAAAAAGACTCATTTTACAGCTTCAAACTATTTGTAATAAATTAAAATGTAATTTAAAGATACATTTAAAACAACATTTTGGTTATTTTAAATAAATTTCTTTTCAGAACAACATCCTTTTCAGAGTATTAACGATCCTCACCCCAGCAAGTCTACTCGTTTGTTAATTTACATGCAGGCAATTAATAATTGCCATAAATTACTATTGAAAAGCTGCGATAAATGCATTTGCTTGAAACATTGCTCATACGCCGCGTGGGACAGGCGGCAGCTAAGCCATTTAGCTTCTGTTTGACTTGACTGCCATTTTTTTTTTATTAAGCGGCATAATTTCATAATCGTTATGCAAAACGCAAACACAATAACCGTTGCAAAAACTATGGCAACGCCCACATCACGCCTGATGTGGACAGGACCAGGATGCAGAGCGGAGCGGGTAGAGGGGCGGCAGCATGAGCAGGAGCAGCCAGCTGCCGGCGACAGGCCACGACATCAATGCCAACGACAACGACGACATAACACTAATGAAAATTTGCGAGCAGCAGCAGTAGGAGGAGGAGCAGTCGGAGACCCGGAGGAGCAGCAGCAGTGGACAGCATTGACGTTGCATTTTATCCTCGGCTGAAGACAAGACCGCAACAACTACACCAAACATGGACGGCCGGGCACGCCCATCCGATGAGTGCTCTTTTGGCAGGCACTGTGGTGGAGGATGCACGTTTTGGGGATTAACAACAGCATTTCTCAAGGTCGAACACAGGCAAACAAGAGACATTAATTTCAATTATTTGCGGAAACTAAATAACTAAATAATATTGGTCTGATGATTTGTTTTTGAAATGTTTTAATACATATATTTAATTATTATTTTTAAAGATAAATGCATCCTAAAATAGTTACGGATTTAAAATTCAAAATTCTCTGCAGCAAAATTTACGTATTATATTTTCACTTCTGTAAAGTATTTTGTTGGGAAATATGTAAGTCTTTAAATTATATAAATATTCAGTCTCAAATGATCATTATTTTTCTACTAATTAATATATATTGACATATGTTCCCCATGTAAGCTCAGAAGGTCTAACCCTGTCTTGTCACTTGCCATTAAAATCGCACATTCTCTTCTATTTATAGATCCTTCGGCTCGTACCTCGTACCACTATGCAATCGATGCAAATTATGGCCAAAAACAATGTCGGGCCACAACAACATGAGCGATACAAACGAGCGTGCTGTAGTTGTCATCCTATTTTGTAGGTGTTGCCGTGTTGCTGTGTTGTTGCCGCTGTTGCGTTGCTGTTGCTGCCGCTGACAGGCAGGCGCAACGAACGCTGCAGCTCGTCACAGCTGCAAGTGAAAGTCAAACATGAAACGCTTTTAGACACTCGCCCACACACACACACACACATGGCCAGGAGTACACACATGAGCACACAATTTGCCAGCTATTTAGCGGGTGTGGCAGAGGAATAGGTGGCTGGCAGGGGCGGGGAGATTCTCTTGTGCATCGTTTCAGGGTCAACTGCTATTTACAGTCAATGTCAGTGTAAGTCACACTCGAAAAAATAATATACAAAGGCAATAAGCTATTACTTTTAATTATAATTACCATTAAGTCAAAATTAAATATTTTAAAAATATTTAGAATTGTTAAGTAAACCTTTCGTATTGTAAAATTCTTTAAAAAGTTGCTTAAAAAAAGTTAAATAAATAAATTTTGATCAAATCGAACCTATCACACCCATAAATGTATAAATTCTTATATATAAAATTAAATGAATGTAATTATAAATCAAGTTTTATAAATTTCTGCACCCTATTTTTTTTAGTTTATCACAAACATTTCAGTGTGTGTTTATATGGGGCTTGGAAAGGATGGACTGGCGTTGGTCGACCAACAGTTTTAGGGGAAACGCCCACCCATCCATTACCATCATCATTGTGGCCATTATCGTTATTATCAGCCACCAACGCTGCCTCTCGGGACGTGCCTGGCATCGTCATAGGTCTTAATGCCTCCAGTCCCCATAAAGATTGTTTCACACATCCAAAGTTTAACTGAACCGCTCCGAACTGCTCTCGTGTCGTGCCTTGCCGTTTTGTCCAGATTATTGGACGATATTTGGAGGCCCGGCAAGAGTATTTGCATCAGACGCTGCCACTGTCTTGATTCTTTATGATTTTATTGTCATTGCTCGGATGCGATCAGTTTTATTTTTTGTGGCAAAACCAAAGCCACAAGCGCTCCTGAAATTTCAATTAGCATTTGGCTGAATTGATCGTGTGTGGGCGAGATCAGATTGAATTTTTACCACAGCTCCGATGCGAACTTAAAGACCAGGTCAAGGCCGCAGCTGGGCTGTATTTCAAGCTGCTCTCAAGTGTTATTCTACTCAGACAGAATTTGTTTATGGTTAGAGGATTCTTATAAGCTTCAATGTCAATGTAGAGTCATGAGTGGGCAAAAAATGCCGAGATAAATCATTTAGAACTTGTAGATCATTAAGTTTGGATTTATTTATGGGTAAGACATGTGTGATTTTTTCAATTAGCTTTATTGAACAGTATTTAATAAGAATTAAAATATATATTAATGGTAACAAAAAGATGTATCAAAAATGTGGTTTAAATATATTATTCTCCTCACTTTATAATTACATTGAGAACGAAAATAAGGAAGTCTTTCCAACTGGGTTCCATATTGGAAAAAAAAAGCGATTCTTAACCTCTTGCAGATTCATTTACAAAACTTGTTTTGTCGTTATATATGTGTATATAAAGTTTAAGTTTATTTTTTACACGGTATAAAAATATCAAATAATGTCAGTAGCAACCGTCTTTCACCCGACAATCCCCATTTATGTAACACACTTTATGCCTCTCGCCGAAATAAATGCCGCAACTCAACTGCCTGCCAAGTGTCTGAGTCTGGGTCTCAGCCACAGTCTGGGCCGAAAGGAGCCGGCTTAAAACGCACAGAAAAAGTGGACAAACAACAACCCAAAAAAGGCTTCAGCTGCTACCTGGCCGAAAAGGGAAGGCGGCCACAGGTAAACAAAGGAAACCACGAAATCTGCGATCAAGGCCAACTGAAAAGAGTTTCAAGGTTATAAATGACCAGCTTAAAGTGCTTAAAGGAACTGCAGTCGGCAGATGCAGCTGTCCATCCCAAGAACAAGTTTCAAGAGTTCCAGATACACGGGGGGGAGTGGAGCAGAATTGCAAGTATATGTATACTGGCAAAACTTTGAAGGTCAAATGATGTCGACGACGACAATAAAGATAACTACTCGGGTGTCTATATAAAAATTCTACATAATGAAAATGACACAAGCAAGCGGAGATTCAAGGGGAAGAAGAAGTAAGTACGTAAGTTATGTTATGTAGCGACCCGAAGTGAAAGTTTTTTAGAACAAGAAATATTGCGCATACGTCGACGACTGGAAAATAACTCAACTCGCAGTGAACTTTTTCTTATACTTGACAAAACGAAGGAATTGCGAGCCCACCACTTCCTTCTCGTGTCCTGCCCTGTCGAAGGAAATGTCCAAAAAGTTTTGCCCCATTTTTGTTGTTAGGCCAAACTTTTGAACTGGCTCAAAAGCAACTTTTTTGGTAGAACCAAAAGTAAAGGTAAAGGGGTTTGAGCGTGGCAAAGGTATTTTTGATGACCTCAAGGCGGGTTGCACGTGTTTCAATTGTTTTGCAAATAAATTGCCCGTTTCTTGTTTTTTGTTTGCTGTCTTGAGTTGTAGAAATATTTGGGAAATATTAAAGGTACAAGAAAGTTCGTTGGCATTTTTCTATATTTTATTATAATGATATAATCATTTGAATTTTCTACTAAAACTAAGAGAAGCATAATATCTACTTTATTAAAAAATTTGTATACATTAATAAAACAAAATCTGAACTGATCGTAGAGTTTTATTTTAATTGGTTTAAAAAATTCATTGTTTTTAATATAAAGTCCCATTAAATGGCTTTTTGTTATTTGAATCTTCATACTTATAGCAATAAGACGTTTCGTACTTCCTCGTTCTTAATTTTTGTTAATTTTCCCACCTTAAAGGGGAAGTGCAGTGCATTGACTGGACTTATGTCATTCCGGGATACCGCTACATAGCACCTGCCTCCGTCGTTTTTTTTTTCTCGTTTTCTCTGCCGTTTCCCTTAGTATATATTTATATTTAAATTTAATTATGTAATGTTTTGAGCCTCTTTGGGTGACTGTTAGCGCGTGTTGTTGTTCCCTGTGGCAAGACGAAGGCGGCTTGGGAAATTAAAATGTCAAATTCAATTGATTTATGGCCCGTGATTCGTTTTGTCTGTTAAAATTGTACAATAGCTTTGTTTTTGTTATTTGTGTTTTTTGTTACACTTTCAGCGTCAGCGTCAGCTTTCGCTTTCAGCTTTATTTTGCCTTCCTGCTTGCACATCCCCAAGTGTCAATCACCGATGAACAAAAACCAGGAGGTGTCCCGGAAAATACACCATAACCGCCCGTAATATATATTAAAGTTAATTAATGGGGCTGGGAGTAGAAGAAAAATGGTATCAACTGTATTTTTTTCTTCATTGGAAACGAAATGAAGTTACAACTACAGCAGATTATACCCTGTCAATATCAATGGAAGTCACGAGAGTCAAGGTGTATATTTATTATATTGAGTTGAAAGACAGACGAATCATGTGACTGATAGTTTAAGGCGTCTTTATGGGATATGAAAGGTTGAAAAAAAAAATTAGTTATAATATATCCATCTTCCCAAATACTTAATTCTTAATGTGTAACAGCACTTACCAAATGTGTTGCAATTGAAAACCTATATTCGATTTGGGATTCAAGTTTGGTTTAATATATTTCATTTATATTTCATTTTACAGTGGGTGCTGTGCAAACTAGGTGCGCTTTTTGCTCGGGATTCGACTCTAGAAAGGCGTCTAGAGGGTTTATTGATTCTTTCAACTTGTTTCTCGATCGCTACTTTGTGCTTTTAAGAGTCGTGTGAATATTAACTAAATCGAATTCAAGACTAGAAGGAAACGCTTTAACGAATAGGTGAGACTTGGCTACTAAAACGAATAACTCTACGGAAAAGAATTGTTTCAAAATCGGGTGTGTTGGAAGGTAATTAATGGTAATAAATTTCGAACGAAAGTGCTGGAAGAAGCTTCGTAAAATCGAACGTGTCGGATGACTTACTGCCAGGAGAAGCTGCCGGTGATGCCGTCTTTGAGCCGGTCGCGCAGTGATCGCTGGCGACTGGGCCCCGAGCCGGTCAGGGGCGGCAGGTTGGGGTTCTCCCCATCCTCCAGCACGGTGGCTATGTTCGAGGCGGACGTAGAGATTGGCGCGCCGGCGTGCTCCATGATCGGCGGCTGCTGGTGCTGATAGTGGTGGTGGTGGTTCGACTGCTGGTGGTGTGGCGATCCCGATCCCGATCCGGGTCCAGAACCCGGCGCCCCTCCCGCCGGATCTCTGCTGTTCAGATTCCGCCGGAACGAGCCGTGGCGAGGCGAGTTTTCGCGCGACATTACGGATCAATTTTGGTATCGATTTGGGTGTCGATTTAAAGCGGTTTGATTTGGCGGTTAGTTAACGATAGGAATTTCGCATAAAACAATTAGAAGCATAAAACAATTAGTTCAATTTAGAGCCAATTTTCAGAGGCTTTGTCTTATTTGTTTATTTTTGCTTTTTGTTTTTGGTTTTTATTTAGATGAAGAAAACGAGCGAGCGAGTTGAACTTGCTTTTGATATTTTGGTTTTAGTTTAACTTTGTTGCTTAGGTGGTGAGTTTATTGAGATTTAAATTGCACATAGAGCCAAAAAGTATTAACGGTGTGTAAAAGTTGGCTATTCGGAGGGGTAAGGCATGTACCAAAGAAAAAAAAAATATATCAAAAAAGAGTACAGTTGAAAAAACGGTATAGAAAAACGGATCTCATACGCGACACTTAGAGGCAAACATTCGTTGGGATTATCTATCCCTTCTTTTGGGGATGGAAATGGTGCAGGGGATATTATTAGCAGCGAAAAATGTATAACTTGTACGGTGTTATAATGGCTGTGAATGGTTACAGTAGTCTTGTATATAGTATATTGTTGTATAATTTGTGTAAAGGAAGTACAATAGGTATATAATTGAAAATATATAATTGTATTATTAACAGTGTAGCATAAAAACATACAGTTGGTATTGTAAAATATATAAATTGTATAGGGTAAACATTGAGAGAGCGTAGAGAATATATAAATATGTTTTTGGGTGGAAAATAAATATAAAGAGTATTGAATTGAGTTGTTTTGTACAAGTAAGCAATATATATTGAGTAGGAATGAGCAGAATATAGATTGTTTTTGAGTTTTATAGGAGCCGGATATAAGAATCTTAAGCGTTCGCAAGCAGCATGCCTTCTATATATGGTTCTATATACGATTACATGTTTGTATAATAGTTTTTTAGAGGAATTAGGAAGATAATTTGTAATAATTTGTAGGATAGATTGGAAAAATGTGGTAAACTCTGACAAATTCAGATAGGCAGTGTGGTTAATGTTTCAACTTTTGGAGGAAGGAAAAACGCACATTTCCGTTCGTGTGTCGTCGACGGCTAAGCTCAGGAATCTGGACACGGATGTGTGAGGAGTGTTAGCGTTTTACGGGTAATCCAATGGTTCGGAAACTCGGGAACTGAAAGCGGATCGTTCGACTGTACGTACGGGCAGGCAGAGTCAGTATTTACATGTGTCTGGCTAAGTGTTGGGTTGACTGGCTAGATACAGATATCATCGACACGACACGGCTATCAGGGGGTTAGCTATAGGTGACATAGCAGATACGGGGCTGATAGGCGACGCGATCGGCCGCTGCCCATTCGAAGGCACATGGATAGTACGAGCACGGGGGGGAGTTGGATATCATTATATTCATTGTGGGTTGGAACGATCAAACAGTACATTTAGTTGACATTTATGTGGGGAGCAAGGCAATCTATGTTTGATATATTTAAGGTATTTGCTTGTGGTTCTCCTCTCGAGTTTCGTGTTGTCGTATAACTAGTTTCAGTGTCGTCTTTGATGCCAATATTGGCAGTTGTTGTATCTTTACGGGTAGCTATAGGTATTCTGGTCTGGATATGGACTAGTTGGGTGTCTGTTATAGGAGCATTGTTGCTTAATTAGCTTTAGCTATTCATAGTTTAATTAGCAATATGCATAGTATTCTTTCTATTTGATATTTGTTCAGTGTGTTTCTGTTTCTGTTGCTTTGTGTTTGTATTCTGGTTAGTATTAGTATTTGTTTAGTGCTGCAATTTGCGTTTGTTTGGAGTTCTGGGTCCGGTGTTGGTCTTTGTGGCGTGTTCGATTCGATTTGGACTCGAATTGGATTATTTGTGTGCGCTAGATAGTTGTATTATTAGCATTATCATTATCATTAGTTTTTATAAGTGGATTAGAAGATATTGGGATATCTGATGGGCAACGAACCTGCAAAGAGAAAGGTTATATTAGTTAATAATTTAATTTGTTTTAGAATAATAAATAATAATCAAATTGTACCGATACTAATACTATTTTAAAAAAACCCATTTAACCTTTAAACATCCTTCATCCTTTTTTCCTTAGGCCTGGAAAAATGTTTACCATTTTTCTTTCAAGAGCCTCTCTTTCCCAGCTCTACATACATACCTATATATGTATATACAACAATTGGATTAACAAAGTATAACTTAACTAAAAACTTCCGACGGCGATCTTTACCGCCTGCATAAACACGATGACAAGAAGTTAGCTAAAACGACCCAAAAACAAAAAGTCTGTGCAAACTTTTAACCAACATACAAAGCCAATTTCCAGGACTTTTTGTTGTTACGGGTTCTTGTTGTTGCCACTGTTATGAAACGTGCAAAAAAGCGTGAAACTTTGTTCTCGTCCTCGCTCTGAATGCAGTGAAAAAATAGGAAGGAAGGAAAAATAACCAGCGAGTCATGAATTTGTAATAACCCAAAGTGAATGCAAGTTACCCTCACTGATGTCACATCGTAAGTAGCAAGCCGAAATTGTAATAATAAAGTTGATTTTTTTATTAAGCCTTGTACTTAATGGGGATTTTCTTCTGAAAGTCCTTTTATTACTTTCATTGAAAAATATTTAAAAAAAAGTTCAGGGCAAAATTGCAAGAGATGTATTTTGATTTTAAATAATTATTAATAGAGACGTTGAAGATTGTATTTTATTTTATTATATTTTCCTTTATTTATTTGTACAACAAACATTCAAAACAAAAAGAGTAATAAATGGTTAAATTTTTAATTCAATATCTTTACAATTTACTCCCCCTTTATTTATTGTTAAAATCATAATTTCTTTTTTAAAGAAAAGTGTATATTTTTGGGGCCGCAATTTCCCTCAAATACAATTTCCAGCACTTTGTGTTGATTGCGAGCTGAGCGCGTGCAAACAGAATGCAGGAGAAATGCATAAAAAATAAAATCCGAATCCCCACAAGGACATTCAGCCATTTGAAATAACAGCAGAAAAAAACCTCCCTCATAAATGCTCGCTTTGTCGATTGGCAGAAATGCATTTTTAGCCATCAAATTCCACCGAATAACGCACTCAATGCCATTCCAACAAAAAAAAAAACAAAAACGCCCTCGCTTTGGCACCGATGACTTTGCCCATTTTCCGTTTACATAGCGAATGAATTGTAACAGGATATGCAGGGTCCAAAATGGGGAGAACGAAGCCTTGAGGTCCTCCAGGCCCGGTCGTGACTACGGAACCAATGTCAAGTGGCATTACTATGGAGTGTTTTCGGCGCTCTCAAAGAACGCAGAAGCCGCTAAATGAATTATGCATACAGCCGCCGGGAGTGCGGCCAAGGAGCTTTCCTGTCACATTATGCATTGCTAAATGCTAAACGGATTTAAGATCACAACGATGCCGATGCTGGCAGGCATGCGGAATAGTTGACATTTTCCGTATGCCAAAGGTTGGAAAACATTACTAAACGAGTCGATTTTAGGAAGAGTGAAAAATTAAAGCTTTACTTAATGTAATAGTTGGGAAAATTCTCAAATATAGAATATTATTTAACATTTCCTAGCAAAGGACCATCAACATTTTTAAACCACATTTATCCAGCACAAAAGTATGCTATATATTTTCAAGTCCACTAAATGACTTAATGGTACTCGGATTTAATCTCGTTCATGGTCTAAAGCGAAATGGGAAAAGTTACATTTTCCTCATAGCTCCACGCACATTCAATATTTAATTTACTGCCGGGCAGATAGCGATTTTTGGTTTAATATCCTTTGCGCTGTAATTAAGCCAACGTCAACGTCAACGCCAACTTTAACGCCAACGCTCTGGGCAAAAGCTTTGGCTTAAACGCCGACACATGGCCAAGAGCCGAGCTGAACTAAGCCCAACTGAACTGAACTGAACAGCAGAGCGTCCTACATAAAAGGATTTCATCCGTCTGCACTCGCACACACGCTCATTATGATTATTATGAGTAGTTTCCCAGTGCCGGCATCCAAGCCATGTCTGTTGCTTTACCCTTCGACGTAATAGACGTCGTATTTCCTCGTCCCCTTTCTTTTTTTAACCCCCTTCTGTTGCATTCAGTTGGATGCGGCTGAAAGGGCTGAAAGGGAAATGGGGCAGGGGGCATGGGCGTGGGCGGGGGGTGGTAATGCCATAAAATGAGCATCGACGCGCATTTAATACTCGCACTTGAAGCTTGTTCTAAAGGACGTACTGTGGTTGTCACCAGATTAAACTATTAAAAATATCGAAAAAGTATGAATCTTTATTTAGTTTTAGTCAAGTTTTTAGTGAGAGTTAAGAGGAGACATGGTATTCTATTTATAATTGATAATGAACGTTTATTATGAAATTCTTTTTGTAACCGTAATTTATAGGGGAAACTTACACATTTTTACTTTAAGTCTGCTTCTGTTTTTAGCAATTTTTGATCCGTATATGTAAATTATACAACAAACTAAATACTTTAAAGACGGACGCCTCCACTCCAACCACTGTGCTGTCGCACAACTCCTACGGATTCCCGAGCCCTGTGCGGAAGTGAATGTGTGCTGCCATGGGTATGTACATACCATATACATATATATGTGGCCATGAGCAGCTCACAATCGCATACATTTCCCGGCATTACAAGCTCACTTTTTAATATGTATGCATGTCTCCAGTGTGGCCACCGTACGTATGTACGTACGAGCTGGTGGCGTGTGGGCGTGGGATGAGTAATGACTGCCTTCGGCCGGAGCATTTCAGCATTGGCAGCAGCGCGTTCCAATGTCCTTACATAGACAGTCTTTCGTTCATTTTGAAGGCTATGCACTTAGGCGAGGTCATAAATATGCGAAGCATAGGAAAGGGGAAATGGCACGAAAGGGAGAGTGCTGAAATGTTATGTAAAGTGTGTTGGCCAGCTTTAAGCCCAAAGGCTTTAATTGCGAACAGTATTTCCACACAGTTGACCAACAAATTAGATATAAAAATGCACTGAGATTCATTTTATAATGAATTAAAATATATTTAATAATTATATTTGAGATTTTAAAATTCTCTCTCTAGTATATTTGCTGCTAGATATGGATACAAACAAGTACATAATTATTTTCCTAAAACCAATTACCACAACTAGGATAACAGGAAAAAGTTGGTTTTTTAGCTGTACGAACACCACTGAAAGGACATTTGCATAGCCGCTAACCGCGTGCACATTTTGAAATTTCATCCTTTTGGCGCCTGGCTGGCTTCGCTGTCGCCTTCCCCAATCCCTGGCACATTCATTCATAATTGCAGGATGCATTTTGTTTT